TTTTTATCCTTTCTGGAAAAGAAAATCATAAAAGCATTCACACTTCCTTCTTGAGATTTGCAAACAAACCAGAGTGGAAGACATAGGAACGATTACCAATTAGGTTAAGTGGATTTCTTTACTTATGATTATTATATGATTAACAACAGATGAAAGTAGAATCAATAATACTTGACTGATTTCATGACAAAATACGTGTTGCATGGCAGAAATTGAAACCTGCACACCATAATCGGTAAATTGAAACCTACAAACCATAATCACTAATATCAATACACGTTCAAGGGAAGAAATCAAAAACTATAAACCGTAATCAGTAATATCCTGTTGAATTTGAACCTAATTTCTAACAATAAACCCACTACTATTATCAAGTTGAAACCTATATGGAATTTACAATAAACTCAAACATCGGGCTTCCCTGTATCAAGGGAAATACCCTAAAAATGGCTCTAAAGTCACCACAGACAACGAAAGGAGTCGAAAACAACACTCTTTGGGAATCCGTTGTCTCAATGATTCTCTTTAGAATTGGGATCCAAACCCTATTACCGGAAAAAGCAAAACAAAAAAATAAATAAATAAATAAAACAAACAAAGGGCGTGTTCGGCAAAACTAGCTGGTAGCGGGTAACGGGTAGCAGGTAGCGGGTAGCTTATAGCTTGTAGCGTTTTGTTAAACGCTACATGAAGTAGCATTTGGATTTGAAGCGTTTTGATTAAACTAAACGCTAGAAGCTTGTAGTGACAAACGAGACTTTCTGTTTTAAACGGAGCGTTTTGTCAAACGCTAGAAGCTAGAAGCTCTCAAACGTTCCAAAACGCTCTGTGCCGAACACGCCCAAACCCGATTTTGTTGCTTTTCCTCTCATCACCCAAATAGGAACAATTTCCGATAAAGGGGAGGAGACGTGAAGATGATGGGGAGGGATTTGGTGGTCAGAAGAATTTCCGATGGATGACGCCGGTAATGGTGCAAAATCAATGTCGCACGTCGGATTCGGGTGATTTGTGGGTGTTACTTGGCGTTTGCAGAAGTTGTAGCATACTACATAGAATAGATTACCAGTTGAGTCGACCCGCAATACCTAAAAAGTCAAAAAACAACCCATGTTTATAAAGAGTCAAATCATTGCTTTCTTCACCTCCACAAATCCGGTTTCTATATTAAAATCATTGCATCATCCTCAATTCCAGGGCAGTGTGTATTTCAAACCTTCTTCAAGGCCCTCATATTCATCATCAAAATCCTAATCAACTCCTTTACCATCCTCACTATGAACTTCAGAATAAGAACGATCAATTTGTTCATATTTTGCCGAAGAAAATTGAATAAAATTTCTTTTGGCCTCTCATGAGGAGGAGATTCGGGTATTGTCTTTTGGGTTTCTTTATTCTTCTTTGGTTCTTCTCGAGGAAGAATATTAGGACTATCATACACATGAATTAGAGAGTACGATCAATCATTTTGATCATCATTCTTAAGGCTCTCATAATGAGGAGATTCTAATGGTGTCTTAGACTTGAGGAAGTGGAGTATAGTACTTCAAAATCATTTATATTTTATTCAGAGAGATTGAAAAAACGAAAACTCTCTTCCAAAAAGAGTTATTAACCCATTATTTAAATATGAAAGATAATAAAAAATATGTACAAAATTATATACATTTAATCACTTATTTTCTTTATACATATCACTTTTTTTTTAAAACTCACTTATTGTTTTTCACTTGTATTAATCTTTCAAGTGTTTATATTTTTGTGGTTTCTTCATTCTTAATAAATTTTGCAAAACAAAACCCATTAAAACAACATAATCATATATCTAGAGATTCAAAAAAATTTAAAATATCTTGCATTAATATTATATTATTTTAACTTGTAGTTTATATAACATTTTTTATGTTAGCATATTTATTTAGAGATAAATTTCTTTCAAATCATCCTAAACTGTTGTTTTTATAAAAACCAATTATTTATAAATTTAGATATACCTTATACATAATTGATTTCATTTTTTAAGATGAAAAGTCTTCTATTTTGCTATATTAATCGAAAAGTTTTCTAATTAAATATAAGCTAAATGTAAAATGAATAATAATATTAAAAATAAAAAATCATTTTTTTAGTGAAAAGACGTATTTTAAAAACCGATAAGACTTTTACTCTTCTTTTTCTTGTAAACCATGATATAGCCACCGTTCTATTTACAAACCTAATTTTTTTTTTAAAACTGTTAGAATACCCAAAGCTCTTTGTACCAATCGCAACATTTATGATAATCACCATATTTGAAAGAATCTTAACTCTTTTTACTTTGTTGCAACTCCATCTTTATCTTTGATTTTTTTTCCCTTGTAATTCTGTTTACAAAAGTCATTTATTAATTTAGTTAATCAGTTTATTATAAGAAAACAGTTTTCCGTATTTAATATTACATACTCAAACATAATACTTTTATCTATAAACAAAATTTACAGCCTCTTGAAAATATATCATTTGTTATGTATTTTTTGTCTCGAAAAATATTTTTTTTTATTTGTAAATAGAATAGTTACAATATCTCATTCAACTTTTTTATATAAAAAGTATAACTCCAAATATTTAAAAATAGAAAGACTATTCTACACAAAAAAAAGGTAAACAAATTTTCTTGTTTAAGATCGTATAAATAAAAATAAACAAATAATCCATTCTATACTAATACAAATAGATAGAATATACAAATCATACTAAATCATTGAACAACAATTTTTGCACCTTTAGGTTTTAACATCAAAACCTTACATCTAAAGAGAAAAACAAAAACCAGAAATTAGTTTTGTTGTGTTTTTATATCCTTCACTTGTGCATCGAAATATAAAATCATTAAAAATCTAGATGTAAAAAATCAAACGTAAATAATGCAATACAAATCTTAATATGTGACATACAGTTCCTTGTTCTTATTCCAAATCATTGAAATCCATTATACATATATAAATAATAATAAAAAAAACATAGAACTAATTAATTCATTTATCTTTAAACAAAATATAGATACTTACAAAATACAACAAAAAACACATCTGAAACACATATCCACACGCTTTAAGTAACTAAGACCTACAAATATCTACAACAGATTATAAGAGATCCAGATTATAAGAGATCCAGCTTTGTGTCTTTTTGTGAAGAATTTGCAGATTCAGATCTGAAAATATGAAATATAAAACTCTTAGAATATCAAAATCGAAAATATATTAAACATAAATACACAAATTTATACATATAAATAGGTTTACATACATATAGATCCTTAAAACACACAAATAAAGATTTGAAATTTTTTATCCTACCCGTGTCTGAGAATGGAGGTGGCGTTGAAGAAAGAGAGAGGGAGAATGTAATGAGCAACTCCACTGTTGGTGTGGGGGTTTGATAGCGGTAAGATAATGGCGAATGGGTTAGCAGTAAGTAAAGGTAAGGATGACATTGATCTCCAGGGTCGTTAATGGAGAAGATGGTGAGGAGATTCTAGAGAGACGACAATGCGAGAATATGAGAAACGTGATTTTAAATGAAAGGTGATTTCTTTCCCTGTAAATAAAGAAGGCAAAACACTTTAAACACCGAAGACATAAACTTTAAAGAATTGAAAATCTAAAATACTTATTTGTGATTGGTTTAAACATGTTTATTTGGATCACCAACAACAATATAATCTCCACCATTCAATAAAAATCTAAGGTCAAAATTGACTCCTCTTGTTTTTAAGACTTTGTCTTAAATTTGATGGTCCCCACCAAGATGTATGCATTATAAAGTAGTAAAGTAATATATATATATATATATATATATATATATATATATATATATATATATATATATATATTATATATATATATATATATATATATAGGGAAATCTCCAGAAAAGTCCTAAAATTTTACCCTAATTTACGAAAAAGTTCCAAACTAAAATTTATTTACGAAAAAGCATGAATTACCGGTAAAAATGGTGATTTGACCCATTTTTTCCGGTTTACCGGTTTTATTACTTACCTGTTTCACTAAAGTCCCATTATTTTACCCTAATTTGCGAATAAGTCCCAAAATAAAATTTACTGATGATTTGACCATTTTCTCTATGTAACATACATTTTACCGGTTTCATTGCTGACCCGGACGCCTAGTAACTAAATGAGATGATGAGATGGATATGTTGAGTTATATAATGCTATGTTTACATAAAACTTGATATCCTGATGTATTGTATATCTTTTTGGAACATAAAATGCATCCAATGAAGACTACAATAATTACATAAACTAACAACAACTGCGTTATTTTTTACGTTTATAAGAAATATCAAATTGTCTATCTAATCTTATGTAACCCAATATATCCATCTCATCAGACATCAACTCATTTTCTGCCCTTTTTTCTTGGAAACACACATTTTATTGGTTTCACTGTCATAAATGAGCCGATGAGATGGGTATCAAATTTTACAGTAAATGTGACATTATATAACCCATCGTATTCATCTTATCAGCTAATTTAATGACTGGGTATCTAAGTCAGCAATGAAACCGATAAAATGTATGTTACATGAAGAAAAGGGTCAAATCATCAGTAAATTTTATTTTGGGACTTTTTCGCAAGTTAGGGTAAAATAATGGGACTTTAGTGAAACATATAAGTAATAAAACCGGTAAACCGGAAAAAATGGGTCAAATCGCCATTTTTACCGGTAATTCATGTTTTTTCGTAAACAAATTTTAGTTTGGGACTTTTTCGTAAATTAGGGTAAAATTTTAAGACTTTTCTGGAGATTTCCATATATATATATATATATATATATATATATATATATATATATATATATAATAAGCATTTATCATGTTTTGCTGAATTTTAAGAGGTCCAATACTTTTTGCGATTTGTACACTAAATCTTATCCGATCAGCAATGACTCAGTCCTCCTTTAATACCGGATCTATGGTTATCTAAATAAACTGATTCTACGCCTTCCCTGTATATCAAATCTTTTCTCCCTTCACTCTTTTATATTTAAAATATAGAAATCTTTCCTCTCTATAAAAAGATCCCCCTTCTCTCAACCATCTCTCCTTTTCTCTAACCCTAATTAGCGGCCAGACATACCATCTGATGATGTTGTTTATTTTTTCTAAGGCTATAGAGGCTCACGCTTTCTAAATATCATATTCCATAACTTTCTTTTACTGTACCGATTGCAGGTATTCCAAGCAGTCGATTCATCGAGACGATGAAGAACAATTGGATTTGTATGGGGCTTCTTAACTCTATTTTCCTCTCTATTGCTTGCTTCGATTCACCGATATCGATCTGTTTCTTGGGGATTCGGATCTAAATCTCTGTCGGTGATCTGTTTCTTGGGTTTCCTTCTCAAGAATGTTCAAAGAAATAGACCAGGTTTGTGTTCTTTTCTTTTCCTCTGTATAAAATACATAAAAAACTCCATTATGTGTGTTTTATTTTGAAGATTTTACTTTAACGTGAAGACCCTGTCTACTCCACCATCACTTTAATTGCAGGTAAACCATCATCTACCCATATCACTTTATTTAGACAAAATTTGGTCTAAAATTTGGCACCTTCTTTTGTATAGGGAATGTAATATACTTATCTTGCTTTTTTTTCCTTGATTATAAATCCTTGTAATATTTGTTATATGGTAAGTGAAATAATAAAACACTGTAATATATGGTTATTACTTGGGTGGTGGAGAATTTGAAATTTTTAGAAAAACAATTTGTGAATGAGATACATTATTTGATTTAGTCTCATAATATATGGTTATTAAAGATATTGAATTTTACACGATAAAATAGATTCCAATGCAGTTTGGTGTTTATTTAGTGGTGCAATTCCATAAACTTATAGTTTTGTTCAATGTTGGTATTCATTTGGTGGTGCAATTCAACACAGCCGCTAGCAAAGCAGGTTTTAGTTTTCTTTCTTTTCACTTTTTTGTTACACTATTTTGAGAAATTTATGAGTTTATTTGAACTAATAGAGGTTTTTTTTTTCTTTTTTTTTTTGTGTAACAGGTTGGTTTTACATTTCATCGATTCCATTCGATAAAATCCCCTTGATTGTCACATTCTGTTTACTTGAAAGGTGTCATGTTTTTTTTTTTTAATATTTGTTAGACTTTGTATACAAGACATAAATCAGTGTGCATGTGCTTTTTCCAAATACACACCTAGATTAAAAGAAAATAATATATGCAGTAAGATCACAAGGCCTCAATCAAGGAAGAACTTCAAAGAGCACAATGAGAGAGTTCAACATCAAATGAAAAGATTAAATTTAATCAGTTACTTCATAACCCATAAAAGCAATGAACTTACATTTTCTTACATGTAATAACAACATACATTCAAATGTTTACTCATATAAGGTTTCAAAATATCAATATGTTATTTCCATCATCTGAACAACTAACTCTCCATATGTATCCTTACAGTTTTCCCCAGCATCTACCAACAACCAAATTAGTTATTCTTCACTATCCTTGAGGCACCGAATATTGTTCCTCTCCCTGCAACATCGTAACTTAAATTGGTTGTCCCTCTCCTGATTTCCTTCCATCATGAACAATGAAACCTCGGGCTTTCAAAATCTCCAATCTATCAGAAATCAAAGCTTCTACTATTAGCCTATTACTACTAAGATGCATTGACGTATTTTTAAAATCCCAATTTTAGTTCTTGTAGGCATAGTTACATGGCTAATTAAGTTTATTAAAAGGAAGGTTGCATTGGTAGTCCTTGAAGAGATTCTTTATTGCATCTTTGGTTGCTGGTTCAAAGGACATTAAAATGGCTATGTTAAAATTCAATAAGATGACTATTTTCCCCATCATATTCAGCTTCTTCCTATGTTCCCAAGTTCATCTTTTATTTTTAAAATTTTCATCATTTCTTTTTTATTAATAAAATTTTAAGAACATAACTAACTTCCATCTAATACTTAATTAATATATACATTTTAATTATATCAAATCTAGACCTGATGATAAAACCTAAAATTAGAGCTTAAAAACAATTTCTTTTATTCTTGAGGTTATTATGTGTGTGAGTGTGTATGTGTGTGTCCTCTTCGTAAGAGTGTGCTGTGCGTGATGTGCGTGTATGTATGTTTGAATGTGGGTTGGTTTTGATTTGCCTATAATAATAATAATAATAATAATAATAATAATAATAATAATATATAGAAAAACAAATAAATAATTTAAAAAAATAAAGAAAAACAAATGAACTTAGGCGTGCCTACGTTTGTGTTTGTCTAATATACCATCTTTTGTGTGTATATGTATTTGTCTGATATACATCTTTGATTTCAATTACATCATATTTTTTGATCTTTTTCTCATATATAAGCATTGCAATTTGAATTGTAGAATAATACATTAAAAAATGATGTCATCGAAGTGCTGCAGTGCCACCCATATGTATGGGACTTGGCCAAATCCTTTCCAATAGAGGTTTTTAAAAAGGAAATGATATCACGGTGATAGAAAGGGACAAACTTGCTAATTGCTATCCATCAAAAGAAGAAGAAAGTACTCCGGTCCAAAGGAATATCTTCCAACAGAAACATAAAATGAACATAACTTTTCACTTATATTATTTAACATTAAATATTCAAATAAACTATGTGCAAAACTCAAGCTATCAAATAAAGGTTCTGATTTTGTTTTTGGTATGTAAATTTTGTTTTTCATTTGATTTTTAATATTAATATTATATTTTGGGGGGTTTGGTTTGGTATTGAGTCATTTTTAATAAATATGTGAAATGTTAACTTTACATGGACCCATAATGTTAAAAAAAATAATGACAAATGACTAAATTTGTAGAACTATTCATTTTCGGACATAAACCTAAAACTAGCTAAAAACAGTGACCAAGTTTTGTAATTTGTTCAAGAATAAACTGATACATTTTATCTTTTATAATGTTGTTTTTTAATACAATGTTGTTTTTTTTATTCTTTAGTAATTTATTATATCAAAAAATGACTTGCATTGTTGGGATAAATGGTACTTGCAATATTAATATTAATAAAATTAATGAATAATTTTTGGTTAATAAGACATGACAAAATAAGTAGCAACTATATTTGGATATTTTCTTAATCATGCATGGATGCTACTTGCTTGCTATCCACCATGTTAAAAACATATACCTTGACTATTAGCAATATATTTAATTATAAGAAAATGACATCTTCATTGGATTGAACGAGAAGAAAGTAATGTAGTGGGATTTCATTTGTTGGATATTTCAAACCAAAAACATAAATGCAATTTTGTTTTAAATCAAAATAACAAAGTAACATTTTCTTTTTAAACCAAAACCACAACGAATTCATTTGTTTTCTTTTTAATTAAAAACAACAATGTATCTTTAGTCTTTAACCTAAAAGAACAACACATGTCCGAAAATCCAAATATATGAACCATACAGGTCAATACAAATTGTCCAATAAGACAATTAAATTTTATATGAATAACGAACCACCTTATTATAATATAAACGTCTATGTGAATCATATCAGTCAAGTACATCTACTCGCGACTTGCATGTGCATAAAATTAAATGTGGTTCTCGATTTAATAGTGTACAATCAGTCATATATATTAATACACATTTTATTTTAATCTAAACTTTTCAATTTCAATTCTTATCGGTTTTGTATTTGTTAACATGAATCTTTTATTGATGGTTGTGTTGATGTAGTACCAAAATGAAAAAAATATAACATTTTAAATTACTTAAATAAAAATTATTTGATATAAATAACTATATAAATAAACATAACTTCTGCGCACTAGAAACTACAAAACTGATTGATATCAATATGAATATGTCATGTGTTCATTAAAATATAACATGTTTCTGAATGAAATTAATTGCCGAAAAAAACTAACCGCACCCGTCGCTTAGCGCGGGTAAACGGCTAGTATATATATATATATATATATATATATATATATATATATATATATATATATACCATCTTATAAAACATATATCTTCAATGTCTTAAATACAAATGTTTATGCCTGATGTACAACAAAATTAAGCATATCTTAAGGAAAAGTCTTAAAGACAAGTTATACAGCTTGATGTACAAGCTTCTGATGCATGTTCAAATAAAAGAAAGTCACACGGATTGGTGACATGGCACATTAATGGATCGCCAACATGTTTAATCAGGACCATTTATTTGATATTCGATCTGATGGCTGGTAATTGGTATGGGATAACACAAAACCCAAACATACTGCAATACCTAATTACTCTTCCCAGCCGCTCTTTTTCAAACGACACCTTCCCTCTTCGGTCTTCAACCCGTAACCTACATCCGACAAATTGTACGCCGTGACCACCACAACTTACCGTCTCCCTGTTATCGGTCGTGTCTACCGTTCATGTTGACGCCACCACCACAACTTTACGTCTCCAACTTCAACATATTTTTCTGGTAAGAGCCTTTTTTGTATTAGATTTTTGTGTGGATATCTTTTCTCATTTTTTAACATTGTTTTCATTTATGTGTATTTGGATCCAAATCTGGGAAAATATTCAAGGTGATTAATATGGTTTTAGGGACCAACAATGTCAAGATTAATCGTTGGCCATTTTCCTGTCTACCCCTCTCTCTACCCTACTTACACCTCCACCTCCATCCGTGAATGTGGTTATAAGATTTTCAGATCTGTGTGTTTATATATGTTATAGATCTGTTTATATGTGTAAATAAATATTTGTATGTAGTATAATTTTGTGCGTATGTTTTTTTAAAAGCTTGATATCTGAATGTCCGCGTTTGATTGTTTTAGAAAAGGAGCTACAAAGCTAAAATATTTAGGCACATAATTAATGCATCTCTAATAGATGATGGTTGTTTGTATTCTTAGATTCTTGTTTATTTTTTTGGATCTGTTATATATTTGAGCTTCAAATAATCTTTTTAGTGTAGAAAAATTGCAAAAATTGGAATAAGATTGGGTTCGTTCATTTTGTTTTGTTTACATTTTCGTTTTTTGTAATTATAAAAAATGTAATATTTAAGTATGTGTAGTTCAAATATGATTTTATTTATTTATTTGTTAATGTTGGTGGTTGTTGATGAGGGAAGAAGAATTTGTTTGTGTTGTAAGCATCAGAAAAATAAAAGTAATTAAGTTTATGTTGTTTATGCTTGATTGGTAAATGAAAGTGTTTTTTTTTTATTTTTATTTTTTTCAGAACAGAAGATAATAAAAAAGATTCGAATCATGTGACTGTTGAATCTTTGGATGTTTTGAATTGTTTTAATAAAGTTACTATTTACGTTTAAATTGTTCATAATAAAATTTTGTGTTTTTGCATTACTTATATTTGGTGTAAAAAGTTCCAATAGTTTTTACAATTTATTATTTGTTACTATGTTATATCATAATATCCGTTATCTAAAAATCTTAAATGGCGTATTTCAGTAATATGTTGGATATGAAGTTTTTTAAAACTATTTAAATATTAAGAAACAGTGTTTTGAAGTTGATTGTTAGTATCATTATAATTTGAATTAAAGACAAAAATATAAGATTTAAATTAATATTTGCTGGTTGTTCTGCAAAAGCAAAATGTGATAGTCTGATGGAGACAATTGAACTTAGATTTATAGTGAGAAATGCATGGAAAAGGGTACCTCATAGGGAAATGGTCACATGAGTTGACACGCCAATGAATGCATCTATAAGGCTGGGCGGAGTGGAAGTGCCAAAGAAACTCGCCATCGATCGCCAACCATTTGGAACACCGCCCTCGCCAACCATGAGTCGCCAATGCCTTAGCGTGATGAAAGAGAAGGGAACTTTTGCTTATGATTGGATGCATGCTACTTGAATCGTATTTCACATTCTTAAATTGAATAAATCACTTTACAAACTTACATTTTACCCCCTTTTGAATTGAGAAAATATACCACCTTTTGAATAAATCACTTTACAAACTTACATTTTACCCCCTTTTGAATTGAGAAAATATACCACCTTTTGAATAAATCACTTTATAAACTTACATTTTACCCCTTTTGAATTGAGAAAATATATCACCTTTTGAATAAATCACTTTACAAACTTACATTTTACCCCTTTTGAATTGAGAAAATATACCACCTTTTGAATAAATCACTTTACAAACTTACATTAAAAAAACATTTTTAATATATATATATATATATATATATATATATATATATATAATATATATATTATATATATAATATATAGAGAGAGAGAGAGAGTCAAGATCAAATAAGAAGGAAATTTTTGGTAGGAAGGTAAGAAGTTTTTTTTTACATATTTTTTTCGCGAACAAATAAAATGAATCATTAGATGATTCATTTGAAGATGATTCACAAGAAACAATTCTCAAAAAAACATCTCGATGATTCATTTATACAATGATTTTGTTGTTATTCACTAAAATTGTCATAAAAGTGAATTTTTTCTTAATTTTACTTAAAAATAACTCATAAAGATGTTTTTTTGGGAATTTTTTCTTGTGAATCATCTTACAAATGAATCATCTAGTGATTCATTTATTTTGTTCGTCAAAAAAATATATAGAAAAAAACTTCTTACCTTCCTACCAAAAATTTCCTTCTTCCCGGATATATATATATATATATATTATTATATATATATTATATATTATATATATTATATCTATATATCAAACCATACTCTCAACAAATATATTTATTAAAATATAGTAATTAAAATAAATTAGAAAAAAGAAAGTTCAAAAAATTGAGTGCTAACAGTGTTACCACTCCTTACAAAATGTTAAGTGTAGGTGTTAAAAGGAGAAAAATGATGTGACATTTAAAATGTTTATGTGGCAAGGTGTCAAGAGTGTCACCACTCCTCTTAGCCTAATATTTTTGATGAAATATAAGATATAAAAAGAGACATTTTGGAAGTGGTATTTTGAATTAAATTAATTGGTTTTTTAGAAATTCTATCTATGAAAATGTCCA